CAAGAGCATAAACTGCGTACGGCACACCAAAAAAAAAAGTATTTGAACTACGTTATGACTTGATCTCTTCTTTGGAGGGGTACGTAGGCAGCTTGAACATTTAATTTTCGAGTTCAGTTACATCAAAATAAAAAATAAGGGTTTTATTAAATACTTGACTAATGAAAGTCAATCTTATTACAATTTCTTTGTACAAAAAAAAAAGGATTCTTCACAAAGGTTGATCAGATAACGCCTCATCACTCGGCGGAACTCCAGGAAGAAGAAGAGCCGGAGGTTGATTGTTTGGAGCTTCAACACTCAGTAAAACTCCAGAGGACGAAGGCAATAGGTGCTTCTGGAGTAAAGCCACAAACATCTTATGGTCACTCTGAATCTGACTTTCGGATTCCTGCAGCTGGTCAAGTTTTCTCTTCATGTTCGTCGAGTAACTATTGGCAAGCATGTGCAACTCTCTGTTTTCACGCTTAAGCCCTCTAATATCTTGCTTAAGACTCGCCACTTCAGCCATCAGTGACTCAACTTGACGAGTTCGAGCAAGAAGGCGTTGGCCCATATTCGATACAGAACTCACACATTGAACACTGAAAGCCAAAGAGTCTTGAACAGCCAGCTCATCAGACCGCTTGGAAATGATCATGTTGTCCTTTGGGGTGAGAAGATTTCTATCTACCACCATAGCGGTTATGTCATTCTTCATCACTGAGTCCCCAACTGTAAGAGGATCAGTGAGGGATAAGAAGGATGGGTGTCATATGTTGTCTGGAGAAGACATATCAACATCCTCCCCAACATTCAAATCAAGACGACAATCAGATGGGCAAGCCATTTGCAAAAAAATGATGAAGGAAAAAGAGGTCGGGTAAATAGAATTCTCAAAAATACAAAAAGAGAGAAATGCTTACAGGCGGCAACTCTTTAAGTGTGTTTTTGAACACGATTAATGCCTCTATAAAAAAAGGAGGCAATAGGGACTGTTCAGAAATCGATAAGGCAACATGGCCGTTCAGAAATCAAAGAGGCACCTCTCCTCGAATTTTAAAAGATGGGCCGCTTGTTTAGAAATCGAGGAAGCACCTATCCTCCAATTTCAAAAGCCAGGCCGCTTGTTCAGAAATCGAAGAGGCAACAAGGCTACTTGTTCAGAGATCGAAGAGGCACCGCTTTCCGAATTTCAAAAGACCGGTTTTTCCAGATTTGTCAGCATATTTTACACTCAACCTCAACTTTCCAGAAATCATGCGCAACTTTGTCAAAGATTTCTGACAAAGTTGAAGACGCGTGAATCTTACTGTTTCAATTACCCAATGGTTGTCGACAAGAGTAAAAGAATAGTACCACTACTAGCTGTTAGGAAATTCCTATATATGTCGATCTTCATCCTCCATGGCAAGGCAGACCTGCAAAAATGCCCAACTCTTCCTCACCTCCGAGAGTACACTCCCAAAAAAGCCTCTCAAAATACTTAGTTTTCTTCCTCTCCGGGAATACCTCTGCAAACAAATGACACCAAAGCAAAAGTATCTCATATCATCAGGGTCGAAAGTAAGAGTATTTCATATCATGCTTTTTCCCTGTCTTTTCATTTACCCTTGCTCTTACCTGCAAGATAAGGAGAAAGAAAGCAATCAGTCGGAACATGAAATCAAACTTCCGATCTGGAACTGATTGCTAGGAACCTTTGCCTGGTTGCTTACCTTGCATTGTTCTTGAGTACTCATCGTCGCTGAGAAGTAATGTTCTGAATGACCATTTAAATGCAAAGGTTGCATTCCATTCCTGCATCAGGGGAAAATACTGCAAGAGATTGAAGCAGAAAGATCAATGATGAGCTGGAACAAATCACTGTATCACGACGCCCTTCCCTGTAGAACCGCATAACCCAGATGGAGGAGTCTAAATCAAATCCAAGCTCGGCATCGTTGCTCTAATCAAAGAACTCGATAAGCTTCAACAGCCTTTCACTGGCACCGTCGCCAAAGAGCAAAGCCTCGCCGTGCAACGCCGTCAAATCACCACCACTTCTTTGAAAGCAAGAGTATCTCATATCATGCTTTCTCCTTGTCATTTTCTTTGTCTTTGTTCTTACCGGCAGGACAAGGAGAAAGAGAGCAATCAGCCGGCACTTAGAATCAACCTTCCGACTGCCTGGAATCCCATCCCTGATTATTTACCTAGCATTGCTCTTGAGTACTCATTTTCAACATCTTGTGCTTCTAGAGAAGATACCACATCTGCCTGAGAATAGATAGGGCAAGTGAAAATGATATATCGAAGCATGTGGAGACAAGAAACACGTGCTGGTTCATCCGCTACTTCTTCAAAAGCAAAAGTATCTCATATCATCAGGGTTGAAGGCAAAGATATCTTATGGCATGCTTTTCCCTGTCTTTTCCTTTACTCTTGCTTTTACCTGCAAGACAAGGAGAAAGAAAGCAATCAGTCGGAACCTAAAATCAAACTTCCGATCTGGAACTGATTGCCTAGAACTTTTGCCTGGTTGCTTACCTGGCATTGCTCTCGAGTGCTCATCTTCAACTGTTGGTTTCAAATTTCCTTAGTAAATACCTCAGAACAGTTGATATGATATTGGTTTTTTACACTGAAGCTGACAAGCATGGACGAGTCGCTGAGAAGTGATGCTCTGAATGACCATTTAAAGGTAAAAGGTTGCGCACCACTTTTGCCGTGCAAAAGAAGCAAGCAGAGAAGAATGCAGCATGGTGAGCTGTAACAGATCACTATAGCGTAACACCCTTCCCTGCAGAATCGCATGATCCAGACGAAGGAGTCTGAGTCAAATCCAAGCTCGGCATTGTTGCTCCAATCAAAAAGCTCGAGAAACCTCAACAACCTTTCAATGGCACTGTCGCCGAAGAGCAAAGCCTCGGCGTGCAACGCCATCAAATCACCACCGCCGCCAGGGAACTCTCCTCTTCCTTGCTTGGATCTCTAACCCAGTTCAAGAATAAGCATGTGGAAAGTCAACAAGCGCAACAAAATACGTGCCGATTCATCCACTACCAAAGCCAAAGATTATCTATCACATGAAGCTCCTTATGGTCCAATTTCATTCAAGATCAAGCCTCTACGGCCCTTGAAGAAATTTCAAACAAAATTCAAGATCAAGCCTCAACGGCCCTTGAAGAAAACTCCAGCCAAATTCAAGATCAAACCTCGACGACCCTTGAAGAAATTTCTTAGCCCTTTCAAGATCAAGCCTCGAAGGCCCTTGAATCGACATCTACATTGAGGTACTTCAAAACACATTTTCTACACATGACAAGCATATGTACACGACGCGTCTTGAAGTGGGGGCATTTGTAGACATCGAAATTTCGGTGAAAACAAATGTTCACCCGCATTAAAATTTTGACGTATCAGGGCATACGTGGCATACGCCATGTGTTGTACAAATTGTACACATGGTGTGTGACTCAACAAAATAGGAAGAAATACCCTTGGAAGATTAAACAAGTTTTTCTTCTCATTTTGGGCAATGACAAGGCAAGCACACTTCAATCCATTACGGATCAAAACAAGTTTTTCTTTTCATTTTGGGCAATGACAAGGCAAGCACACTTCAATCCATTACGGTTCAAAACAAGTTTTTCTCATTTGGACAATGACATGACAAGCACACTTTAAGTTTAAAATTGTATCAAGTGGGAAAATTAGGCCATAAGTTAGACAACTTCAAGTTTAAAATAATATTAAGTGGAAAATTAGGCCATATGTTAGACCACTTCAATTTCAATATTGCATTAAGTGGGAAAATTAGGTAATGGTGCTTAAGTGGGAAAATTTTGTGGTGGTGATTCATTCTCAAAGCCTATAAATAGGCTTCTCCATCAAGGTATCAATCATCCTAAATTTGACAAAATACATTTCTCTACTCCCAAATTGGAAGAGAATTCCCCAAATCCTTGAAGCTTTGAAACTCCAAAGCTCTCAAGCATCCAAATTCCCAAGAATTCTGAAAGATCAAGAAAGCTCTCTTCGTTCTTCGCCAAATCCTTGAGGCCCACCTTCAAGATCAAGCCCCAAAGGCACTTGAAGAAACTTCCATCAACCTTCAAGATCAAGCCCAACGACTCTTGAAGAAACTTCCCTCAACTTTCAAGATCAAGCCCCGAATGCCCTTGAAGAAACCATTCGTTCATCCTAAGATGAAGCCCCAACGGGCCTTTGGATCAACAACATCAACAAATCCACACATCTATTCTTCAAGATCAAGCCCAAAAGCCCTTGAAAATTCGTTCATCAAACTGTTCATCAAGATCAAGCCCAACGACCCTTGAAGAAACTTCCCTCAACTTTCAAGATCAAGCCCCGAAGGCCCTTGAAGAAACCATCCGTTCATCCTAAGATCAAGCCCTGACGGCCTTTTGGATCAACAACCCATCAACAAATCTACACAACTGTTCATCCAAGATCAAGCCTCGACGACCCTTGGATCAACAACATCCACAGACCAACATCTTACGGAGATCGAATCAGAGGATCAAATTAGAGATCGTAACCCCAAAAAATCAAAATCACAAAATATTATTTGTACACGTGTTCTTGTTTCAAGAAATTTCCGTGTTCACAGAGTCATTGCTTTAATTTAGTCAAAGTTGAAAGACGTTGCTACAATAAAGGTGAAATTGACTTTTTAGACAAAAAAATGTATTTAACGTTAAAAGTAAACAGTACCAATAGTGTTTCATTAAGACTCGTTTTTCCATATAGTTTAGAGAGTGATTCACATTCTACACAATACACGAGATTTGATCATTTGCCACGTGTCAAAATCATATCCTCCCACGTGGACATTCCCTCCAAAATGATTGGGCCCAAAAGAAAGAGACCCGGGCAATTGGCGTTTCTTCATCTGGCCACTATCTCATGCTCGATGCTTCCAATTATATTCCAGAAGCATGGTTTAACTTTACCCATTTCTTAATCACAAGTATTTCCAGTTGCTGTCAGCTCCAAACTCTACAAATTTTCCACAGATTTCCAGCAACAATTTCATCAATTGTTCAGCTTTTAGGACCCAGAAATCATCAGTAGCGGTAGTTAGAGCAGTCGACACTGAAGTAGCAGCAGCGGCAGCAAAGATGGTCAAAGCCATTCGAGTCCATGAACTTGGCGGTCCTGAGGTTTCTCTCTCTCTCTCTCTCTCTCTCTCTCTCTCTATATATATATATATATATATGTATATATATGAATCGGAATTCTGGGTTGTGCTTTAATTTGTATGATAAAACAGAATTAGTTTAATTATGAAGCCTGAGTTGTTTATATTGTATTATATTTTTGACACATTGAATTTGAGAGTTGCTTTTATTTTGTGGTATAATTTAATTGGAAGTGATCATGCTTGTTGATTAGAGCCATATCAAGTGTTTTTCTTATATAATCGATCACATAAGCCGGCAATTGGACCCGAAAAACGATGTAGGGTTGGTTTGGTAGTTCATTTAAAATGACTGAAAGCAATTTTAGAGAAAATATTTTTGGATTCCAAAATCACTTGAAGTGCTTTGATAATTGATACTGATTAGTCGATATCCATTTTGTTAAATTTTTGCTTTTCTTTTGTTGTTAGGCAGTATTAATTTATGCTTAACTTCTGTTAGGCAGAATCCGATATCCATTTCGTTAAATTTTTGCTCTGGTTCTTAGTTTATGCCAACACTAATACGGTCATTTTACTTATGTTTGTCATGTAATGATGTTAGGTGTTGAAATGGCAAGATGTGGAAGTAGAGGAGCCAAAGGAGGGTGAGATTCGTGTGAAGAACAAGGCTATCGGGCTTAATTTCATCGATGTATACTTCCGCAAAGGCATTTACAAGGCTCCTACGCTTCCCTACACCCCAGGTCTTGCTTCATTTCTCGCCAATTTTTGGCCTATGTTCTCTTCCAAAATTTGATTTTCTTAACTGTTCCCCACAGATAGATTTATTGTTTGTTTACATCTAAAACTCTATTGAGTGCTGGAAATGGAGTTGCCCTATTTATTTACAAATCAAAACTGACTTCAGGTGTCGAGGCTTGTGGAGTTGTGACGGCTGTGGGACCTGGACTAACAGGCAGGCAAGTTGGAGATATAGTAGCATATGCTGGTCAGCCAATGGGCTCATATGCGGAAGAGCAGATCCTTCCTGCAAACAGAGCTGTGCCTGTTCCTGCTTCCATTGATCCTACAGTCGCAGCATCCCTCTTGCTTAAGGGTATGACTGCTCAGTTTCTAGTACGCCGTTGTTTCAAGGTAGCTTTATACATATGTACCTGCATCTGCTCTTTTTAATCTTTCTTGAAATTAAATGTGGCGTTGCAGAATGTTTTTATAGAGCTATCTGTTTCGTACACTTTTCATTGTTGTTGTCAAGGTGAATATTTGTTACTATTAGTACTGGTCAGTGCCAGCATATGTAATGAAGTTCAATATGCCGCTAAACCAGTTTTAGCTATTGTCCCTGTTTGGACAATGTAAGCTGAGCGTGTATAGCCTGTTTCATATGCAAATCATGACCACTCATAATTCCACAATTGCATGCCTAACTATGGCAATCCTTTTTCCTAATGTTATAGATGTTTTGAAAATTTGAAACTGTTGTCGCTTTTGTTATTAGACCTGACTCAATCGTTGTGATACAGGTCGAACCTGGACACACAGTCCTTGTTCATGCAGCAGCTGGTGGAGTCGGATCCCTTCTATGCCAGTGGGCTAATGCCCTTGGTGCCACTGTCATTGGAACTGTCTCAACTAAAGAGAAGGCAGCTCAAGCCAAGGAGGATGGATGCCACCATGTCATAATCTATAAGGAAGAGGACTTTGTCGCTCGTGTGAAAGAAATAACATCCGACAAGGGGGTTGAGGTTGTCTACGATTCTGTTGGGAAGGATACATTTGAGGTAAGTTATACATCTCCTATCTCCATAACCGTATGATGATCGATTTAAATGTTGCAAAAGCTCAACTCCTCAACTCCAAAATCGACATCATCGTATAGATAACTAGTGTTTTGGACTACGAATTCTTATCGGGAGGCATTGTTTTCAGGGATCACTAGCGGTCTTAAAACTTCAAGGATACATGGTGAGTTTTGGGCAGTCATCAGGCGTGCCTGATCCAGTTCCATTACCAGCTCTTCAAGCGAAATCACTCTTCTTGACAAGGCCTGGCCTCTTTCATTACACTGTTACTCAAGACGAATTGTTAGAGACTGCAGAAGATGTATTTGCTAATGTTGCATCGGGTGTACTGCGTGTTCGAGTGAATCACACCTACTCGTTATCTGAAGCAGCACAGGCACACGCAGACCTCGAGAACAGGAGAACATCTGGATCTGTTGTGCTTATCCCCTAGGGTCTAAAGCGAATGTATACCTGTTGTGGTATGTGTATGTGTGAAAAAACTGCGAATAAGGAACCTATCGTCGTCTTTGGGTTCCGAAACTTTGTATGGCTGTTGTGCCAAAGAGACTTGGATGTAATGAACCTTGACAATAAAAAGGGGTGATTTATATGAACAAAACTTGGCTGTACGAATTGAGAACTTCATTTTTATTCCTTGCTGCATATCGTATGGCAATTTTGAGCTAACACTTCCGAACATCATTTGTGAACTCTTTTAGGTCCAGTAAAATAACTGAAGTCGGTCTTAAATCTTGACATATCGCATATCAATGCGCCTTGCATTAACATTTTTTCTTAGAATCCGATATTCTAAATCACTCTAATATATGGAGACGGGAATTCAAACTTGGATATCAGATCCAATAACATCAAACCAGGCATCTATTCACCAAATGACCAGAGTTTGCACGCAACACCCATTGACTGCTGCATGGCGCTATTCACCAACACCGTCCGAGGCCTCCTTTAAATCAACACAGATCACCATCTCCCTCTTCAAAATAATCGCGACTAAAATTAATGTAGACATGCAACACTATCGAATTATGTAATTTATGTGACCTTTTCACTTGTCGAAAATTAATTTATTTTTCACCAAATTCTGCATTTGTAAAATTTGGGGTTATCTCGTGCAAATCGAACATGCAACATCGCCTAACTAGTTTTTTTTTTTTTTTTTTTTTTTTTTTTCCTTCGTCGTCTTCATGGAAATTAATAGATCCTCTCTCATGCCTTCGATTCGGGAAATGATATTCTTTTAGCCTTCTGCGCGCTAATTGTTTTTTTTTTTTTTTTGTTTCTTAATTCTCTTTAATTTATTCACTATAAATACTAAAAATAAACATAAGTGTGTATACGGTATTTTTTTTTTTGTTTCTTAATTCTCTTTAATTTATTCAATATAAATACTAAAAATAAACATAAGTGTGTATCCGGAGAAAAAATGCAGTGAGAAAATTAGTTCTCTTGGTTATGCTTGTAACGTTATGATTAATAAATTTGATTCGGGAAATGATATTCTTTTCTCCTTCTGCATGCTCATTGTTTTTTAATTCTCTTTAATTTATTCAATATAAATACTAAAAATAAACATAAGTGTGTATACGGAGAAAAAATGCCGTGAGAAAATTAGTTCCCTTGGTTATGCTTGTAACATTATGATTAATAAGTAGCCGATTGGAGATTTCTTGTGCACCAACAAGACCCGCAAAATTGACCGCATTTTTTTCTAATTTTATTATGGGAAATTTTATTTAAACCCATTAATCCTCTTTCCACACTCAACTTAGAAATTTTGTCCCACAAATTTACCATTTTATCATCAAATATAAAATTTACATGAAAAAAAAATACACAAACACGTAAACCCACCCAACTACTTACCCTGGCAACAACCAGACTTGATTGTGGTCATCATTCCAGAAATTGTCACCATCGATCTGTTCTTTATCTCATCGTTTTTCAATTCTTCATGCCCAATTCCATGAGACTGGATTTTGGTCTGACTATTATCTCCTTAAACCTTAATGAACTAATTATAAAAACCCAGCAAATAATACAATTCACCATCACCAATTCAAAGTTGTTTGTTATTGCATTCTCTTGATTTGTAAAGGTTTGATTCCAATTACTTTGTCCTCCAAACCCTTCTTAGCATTTGCATCAACAATTGCATAACAAAAGTTAACCCAATTGCTACTCTTAGCATATGCAGCACCGATTCATCATCACCTCGCATCTGATCTGAGGCTCTACGTACTGCAATTTGTTCAGTCCTCACCAATTTCATGTTCTTTGAGTCTCTAACTATATATGTAAGTCTTTCCCTCTCTCTATCAATGAGCACCGCATTACAGTACTGCAAGAATACAATTTCATGGATGTCTTGATTACTGCAATAATACAGTTGCATTACTGCAAGTCTGCAATAATACAAGTTTGATTTGGTTATGACTTATATATATGCATACCTCCGGCAATTCCTTTTTGTTGTTCTTCTCCACCCTCCGGCAATCCCTTTTCTGAATTTTGGCAACCCACCCAGCCACCAATTGTGGCTCTTAGGGCCATTTCGACCCACCCATATTCCCCAATTGATACTTTCTTTCTACACCCATCTTTTCTTTAGGGCATAATTGGAATATAAAATTTAACAAAAATTTAATGGGTGTAGAAATAGGTTTATTGGGTCCAAATAAAATTTCCCTTTTATTATAGAGAGTTGAATTGTTATCAGCACTCGGAAATAATCGTTATACACTTCTCAATTCTTTATTTGTATTATTAGGAAGGAGTGTCGGACGACCATTTTGGAGTGCGATAACAACCCATGTTTTAGTACAAACCATATTGATTAATGAAAATTGACCAAAGATCTATATGTGGCACCGGGTTTCCACCCAACTGGAATTACATCTTTGGCCAACAAAGTCTCATCTGAATACAGAGATGTCAACCTTATCGACAGTGGAGGATGCAATTCTGCCCCGGCATCAAGCTTCCACACTGCACCCCATGATTGCTGCATGGCTCGCCATTCGCCTCCACCGGACGATGACGAAGTTTCCTTCAACTCAACGCCGGCAAGATCACCATCTCCGGCTTCGAATTCAATCACAGCCGCAAAGTAGTTTGGGTTTGATCCTTGATCCACGTGGAATGCGATTGTTTTCCTGAATAATCACATGCCACACTGGCCATGTGAAGAACGTAGAATACATGCATATCAGAGTCTATACAAATTCCAAATTATATTTTAATTTTCATCATATTTGCTAGTGTAAAATTAGGGTTTATACCGTGCGAATTGAATCTGCAAAACTCCGGCATCGCGTAGTTTTTCTTGTTGGCCGGGAAGTGCCATAGCACCAAACGCGGTACCACTAAGGTCGAAATGTGCCGGTTCGGAGGCGCGAGGCCCTCCGGCGCAAAAGTCGGTAATGATCACCCTCACCGGTTTGCCAGAACAAGCTGGATGGTTGGTACATTTTACCTGAAAAAAAGAAGTTATCTTCATGCTAGTTTTGAATCAAGAAGGAAATGTTGTTGTTTGTTAACATTGACTTGTCTTTTCCCAACTTTGACATGATTCCTGTACTGTATTCTTTTCGGACTATGTTGCCATTTTGGCTTCCACTTCTCATATATGTTTGTCCCATTTTTTTTCCCCTTAACCTTATGATGTCCCTCCTCTTTTTTATTTTTGATATCTTTATTGTTCCGTTTCTAGAGGGGTAATGTTTATGTCCCCTTCTTTTCATGTATTATGAAGGGTTAGATTTATATCTCCTGAATAGGTGTAACTTTCTTTTCATTATCAATAAAAAAATTCTCATAAGGTCAATTCTTTTTAATAAAAAAAAAAGAATATTAGTTTTGAAGAATATATATGCCTACATATATATAGGTCCAAACACTGAAGTTTTATTATGTCATAAAATGTCAGTCCTTGACATGAAAGGAATATAAGTTCTGTTGAGAGTTGTCCCACATTGGTGAGGGACAAGGTTTCCTATGTGTTTATATGGTCTTGAGCTACTCCCCATATTATCAATTGATTTTATGGTGGAATCCCAATTTCATCATGGTATCAAAGCGGGTTGTCTTCGTGTGAAGCCAAATGGCCACACGCGCTCCACGTCACCCGGTTGTTGTCTACGTGTAGGCTTGAAAATCCGCCACATGTGCGGAGACGTGTTGAGAGTTGTCCCACATCGGTGAGGGACAAGGTTTGCTATGTGCTTATATGGTCTTGGACTACTTCCGATATTGTCAATTGATTTTACGGTGGAATCCTAATTTCATCAAGTTCTATGTGTCTTAGAAAAGAAAAAAAAATCAAACATAATATGAATTAATTAAGGAGAGTTGTGATTCAGTTAGTCATAAACTAAAGTAATTAAAAAATTGCTTTGTAACTAGATGACAATAATTAATTAGTTCAGAGTATACAGTATACCTGATAGCAAGCTCCACATTCTTTGCCTGATTTGTACAGAGAAGGGCCTATACTAGTAATCATGGAAGAGAATGGAGCTTGTGACACTAAATTTCCATACCCACAAGCCCCTCCTGCATAAGTTAGCATATCTGTTAAACATCGATTACAATTAAGTAAACAATACCATTATCTGTAAACCAAAAATTACAAAACAGGTACGCATTGATCATGCATTATACCGTCACTTCCGGCGCCATCAGGACTGCCATACCAAGTAGCTCCGGCAGGGGACCAATCGGTGGCAGCGGCTGACAAGTTTAAGTGCTTTCGATTAACGGCGAAGCAGATATTAAAGCAGCAAAAAAGAGTGATTAAGTTCAAAAGGGTTGTTAAACCAGGCAATGGCAGATGGAGGGTGGCCATGGCTAAGTGCTTAGCTTGTTTAGAGTGTGCTTTGTAGTGTTAGAACTTTGGATTTTATAGAGGAAACTCTTGTTCCCTGTTGCTATCAATCCACGATCATATTTTTTATTTTATAATTGGTGTTGTAGACTAGTGGTGAAGTAACATCGTTTTTTTCCATACATGGTCGACTAAATTTGTTTGCTATCCAAAAGTGTAGCGGTCCAGTGCCGAAGCATACCACAAGTCTCTTTAATGACGTACAAAAGGGGTTTTAATTTTTTTTTTAATTATAATTTTTACAGATCGCTCACCAAATGAAAAGGAAAATGTTTACTTACTTAACAAGCTTCATGGCTCTCAGATTATTTTCCTTACTATCAAATCAAATTTAGACGTTTCATTTCTCCCATCACGTGACGCACACACGTTTTTCTCGATATTACCAACGTTACTAGAGTGACGTGGAGTTAAAGAGATACTGCCACCGTTACTAGCGTTAGTAGAAGGACGTGGGAAGCATGCATGTGTGTGAATATAACTAGGCTGACACACGGAATTCTCGCTGTGAAAACCATGGGTTCTAAGGCCGGTTTTCAATCTGTGTGCCCTCGAGTTCCTATAAATCAAGGCATCTTAGTGATGTAACTATAACATACATTCTTAGAATTGGTTGAGTTGAAATGGAAGATAAACTCTCAGAGGCCAATGAAGATGAGTGGTAGGGAGAGTGATCTCTCAATCTATGTTCATCTTCTTCGTAAAATTAAGAAGACGACATAATACAAGCTCTATTTCTTTT